TGGGGGTGTCTCGCCTCAGAGTATGACTCAGGAGAATGAGGAGAAAAAGTGAAAACTCAAACTTGGGCCTGTCGCAGCTTTCTGGACTGGAAGATTGGAGGGGATGGAAGCGAGTGAGAGTGGGGGAGTATGTTTGGTGGACAGCCATTCATCCTGAGCTAAGGGAAGGTTTCCAAATCTCCCCCCGACATTCTTCTGGGCTCAAAGAAGCCCCCCGGCACAGAAGTGACCCAAAACTGGCAGAGACCGCCTTGGCGTTGCCAGGGACAGCCACTCTGCCGATGTGTTGCTGGGGCCCAGTGCTGTTTTGTCTCCCCTCCTCACCTCACTTCCTGGTTTGGAAAAGGAGGTTGGAGGATCATTAACCAGCAGAAGGACCCCATAGTGCACTGTACTGTATGTCCACACATAAACCACGTCTTCATTCAGTTAGCTATTTCACCCTTCAATGCCAGTCTGTGTCTTTTTGTCGCTCTAAAGCAAACATCTTCCGAGAGGCGTCCCCAGGTAGATTTCCTAACCTTACATACCCTCTCGTATAGTTACACGGAACATTTGCCAGATGAGTAAGGTCACACTGTTCCGTACTCAACATTTTGGTTCAAAATATTACAATATGTCTTCTCTCTGGATAAATACATTTTTTGGGAAAAGGGAGGGGGATGATAGGTGTAGGGCGGCGTGGTGCAGTGAATAGCACTGTCACCTTACAGCAAGAAGGTTCAAATCCTGGTTCGGCTCATAAGGGCTTTCTGCGTGAAGTCTGCATGTTCTCCCTGTGTCTTTGTGGCTTCTTCCCACAATCCAACACTTTGAGATTGGAGTCTCTAAAATGATTGCACACGTGTGAATATGAGAGTGAATGGTTGTTTGCCCTGTGACCTTTATCTCACCCAAAGTCAACTGGGTGGCATTGGGGCAAATGAAGGGTGACCCGGATCCTCAACGGATAAGTGCTATAGAGATAGGTTGAATTAAATCAATGCCAGTTTTTCCCAAAATTAAATTTTCTTCCAGGCACTTTCTCTGTGTGAAACAATTTTAATTAAAAAACTAGTTAAAGATAAACCGTCAGATGAAAAACCTTTTTAAATATAAACAATCTTTTCCCAGGTTTTCAATTCAATTAATTTTGTATCACGCACAATCGTAATGTACATAATATCAAGGCACCTCCCATAGTAAGGTCGAGACCTTGAGATGTAAAGGTTTGTAGTTGTCCTCGTGGTATGAACAATACAGAAGTGATCAGTGCTTTGCTCTGATCAGGAGAAGATCTTTGTCAAGACTTTTTTACCAGTTTCAACTTAGAGATACAGGACAAACGTGTGATTCAATTTGGTAAGCACAAGGATTGTGTCTCGTACCAGGGAAAACTCCTTCAGGACACATATTTTACACTCACCAGATGATGCGTTTATAGACACACAAAGGATATCCTGTTAGAAATGCTAGTGATGAATACGACTCACAGCTTGTCTATTGAATACTGTATCATGTGTACTGAACCTAAGAATGAATCCTCTTAGCCCCTGAATCCTCTTAAGGACAACCCGTGAGTTTCCACTCTCCATGCATGCATTCATACAGGGCCACAGTCAGTGTGCAGCACCAAGCCAGACTATCTGGAAACAAGGTAACTGCATCAGCTCCTTGAAGATCATTAAGGCCCCTTTCAGAAATTATATACCAAGGTAGTTAAGGAGGTTAGGAAGGCTGTGGAAAAAAACGTACTGAAATGGCCCCGGGAGGAAACAAGAGACTTTTTACATGTTTTTCCAGCAGAAAACATGCGACGACTTAGTAATTATGACATTTTGAAGTGTCAAGAAAAGGTGTAAATAATAAAAATCATTAAAGTGATTCCATTTCTGCTTTAATTGACATATTCTGGTACTGCATGGTGATTCTGTCTCAGTAAGACATTTGACAACCATCATTAATACCAATGTTAAAAAAAGCAGCTGTACCTTAGGGAATAATTGACTTTTTGGAAAATAATACTATATCAAAGTTATTTGCTGCAGTCTACTTGGATTCACAGCAGTTGTCTAGAGGGGATTTTTTTTCTAAATAATTTTGCATTTGTTTTATACTTATTGTTAGCAGTGAATAAATCTATAAATACCTGCATAAATTGGCAAATAATATAGGCGTTTAAACTTTTTAGCCTACAGGTTACTCCCTCTTTTTTTAAGGTCTCTTTTAATTTCCACTGACTTGTGAAAAATATAATGCTGCAGTGTTCATCAGCTAGTCGAGAGCTGAATAACGCAAAAAACAAATGCTGTGGATACTGAGAAAAGCCACATTGTCTGTGGTAATTATCGTTAGGTTCATCACATTCAGTTGTCCTTTGATGCTGTGATGGGAAATACTGACTCTTGCAGCTTTAAAGATTTTTGTAAGATAGTACATAAAAGATACCATTCTGTTTCCATTCAGTTTGACAGACATCCTATCAATGAATGACAGACATGCTCAGCTCAAACAATGTGGCTGTGATTTCATTTTTACAAATGATTGTGTGTTTGTGTAAACTGTACATGAGTTAAAATATTAACAACAAAGAGCAGATTTGGCAGATAAAGTCGGTTTCATCATCAACAAAACTGTTAAAACATGAAGAGACAACTTAACTTGTCTAAGCTCTTCACCGGCATCTTCATCAGGTTTTCAACTAAATATTACATAACTGTATTTGTTTCATTTTTAACAAATCAAAAAGGAAAAAATCACATCAAATAACACAAAAAGGTTAAAGCTTAAAAACGAGGTCACAATGATCTAACTGGGTGAGTGCTGCCTTACAGAGAGGCTTATGGGTCTGTAAACTGCACCAGTCAAAAATAGTTTTAGTTCATTTTGTTTGGTTAATTATTTTGAATAAAATGCAGTGGTGGATATCTCCTTTACAGTAACAGATAGACATAAATTCATTTTGAATGGAATGAAAGTGAATAAGCCTGAGATATTACACACAACTGATTGCTGACAAAAAAACACAGAATGAAGTTGAAATGTGACTCTTGTTATTTGCACTAACCACAGATGAACAGATATCTCTTGCAGAAAACAGTCCAACTGTGTTATCTGGAAATCTTTGCTGATTAAAAACCAAACAGAACCCTCTCAAATGTGACAAAACAGATAAAGGCCTTACATAAAAGGGCTGTTCCAGGTAACTGAGTAAACCTGCCCGTTGGAACAGGTGGCTCCCCCTAACAAGTCACAAGTTCCTGCTCACCCATGATTCTAGGTAAAAAAGCAACAAACACATCCACCCTCAGACCACAGTGTGCCGCAGTGTGACTGACTCATGCCCCTGCCATTACTGGATGTTTACGCCATGTGCAAAAAAAAAAGGCTCCGCTCACAACTTTGCCAGCAAATGGTGGGCTCGGGTGGGGGTGTGTGGATGGATTGTAGCTGCTGCTCTCTGGGCAATGCCGGGGCTGCTGATGCTGAGCCGAGCGGCTGTATAGCAACAGGCAAACAGCCCAACAAAGCTGCAGGTCCTCTGGGGACGTTGTTAGAGCCGCTGCTCTCCTAGGAACAGCATGAGGAGGCTGAGGCAATTTATCTGTCATATAACAAAACATGCACATACTGTACAGTCCCCAGGAGAAAAGGAGGTCTTATTAATATATTATATAATGTGAAAATTGTGTGTGACTATGTGAACATTAAAGAGCAAAAACTGCAGTAATAAACTCATACAAATCCAGAGAATACTATCAAGATGAGGTCAATGTTTTTACTGCAGATTTCACACAAAACTAGAGCCAAACTAGATCTAAAAGGAGAGTAAATATTGTTTTTGTCACAGGGCAAAAAACATGGCTTCAGATATTGCTCTGCATCTAAAGGATGTGCAAACAGCGAGGTCAAATGATTTGGCATGCCATATTTCACATGTCAAGTCTCTGTGCTTTTTAAGTGTTACACATTTTATTAATTGCACATGTTAATTAATGTAATTTTGTAGTTAATAAGTGCAGCTCAGAGTAAAATAACTTAAAGCAAACTGAATTGCAAAAAACAAAGAATCTGCGACACACAAATAATAACATGAGGGAAATAGCGTTAATTGTGTTGTGGCAAAAATGAATGCAAATTTAGTTTTAACTCTGAGGCAATGATTGCACAGAGATCTCTGGCTTGGTGTTTGGTCTTGATGGACATAGAGTTGAGTAGAGCAGCCATTCTCAACCTTTATTCTTTTGCACCAAATGTAATAGAGGCAGATCCATTCATTGGACTAGAGTAAATATTGGGTGTTTTTTATGACACATGCCCAAGGATTGAGCCTTGGAGAACTCCACACACAAGTCTATAAACACATTTTCAACAGAAGACAGTTAAAAAAACTATTTTCTATTGTCAATATGGATACAGTAGTTGTAGGAGATCAATAACACAATAAATGGTGTTGAAGTCATAAAGTCACTCATTGTGGGTTGCAAAATGAATACTAATATTAATTAGTTTTTCTCAATAACTAATTTTATCCTTAATCCCTGTGTCTTTCTTGTGCTTTAGGTCACTATGTTCAACTTCAACACTTTCTCTTGTGTAAGACTTTATTTATTCCATGAGTTGGTGGATGAGTGACTAAAATCCAACCCGGGATCAGTTAGTCAGTGGCGACAAGCGTGCATGGCCACTCATTCAGAAACATGGGCCTATTGTTAAATTAAAACTTCTATCTCGGCTTGGTAGTAAATTAGCAGGCTTGTGGAGGAGGCTGGCACCGCACGGGCACACATTTCCACACGCACGGGGGCAGAAGGACGGGACTTGCTTGTGCGCAATGGAGAAAAAAAGGGGGTGGGAGGTAGGTGGTGGTGGGAAAGGGGAGGAGAGGGGGGGTACTCTGCCTGTATCGTCATCTCAGAGTGTAGAGGAGGAGGAGGAGGAGGAGGAGGGCCCGCCTTGTGGCTTCCTGGCCCCCTGCACCGGACGGGTCGATTATAGATGCGCATGTATCCAGGCAGCCGGGCGGCAGGGACCACTACTGGACGGGTGCAATGTAACCGGAGGCCGGGAGAGACTATAGGACACAGCCCTTAACCGCGCGGGAGGGGAGGGTTTAACCATTAACCAGCATTAACCATTGAGCTGCGCGAAGCCGGTAACTGTACATAAGGCGTGCGCACCGGCGTCCACGCCTCAGCGCGTTACCAGGAGCTGCGGGACACATGCAGCAGCTACTCGGGGTCCTTGTTCTCTCACTCATCTCCTCCGTGGACCGCTGACACTGAAAGGTAAATCAACCCCCCCCACCCCCACCCCCCCTCTGTGTGAGTGTACCTGCTGTTATTTCAGAAAGAGAATGAGTTGGTGTCACTTGGAGACAGAGACCGTAGGAACCACAGCTTGTTCCCTCGGTGGATGAAATATGTGTGGGGATGACAAAGAGTGGAAAACGACGGTGCATGCGCTTTCATGATTTTTGCATGAGTTATACACTCGTGGTGATAGTGGCAGTGACACGGGTGCGCAGCCCCGGTGCTGGAACACGCAGCCCTCTGGCCCTGTTTAAATGAGCAGCAGAATAGAACAAGGAGGGCTCGTCTATTCAGGCCTGACCAGGGGAGCACTAATTTACGCCTTTGCCATGTTGGGTTCGGGCGGTGTTGGTCCTGACTACTAAACAGAGGATTGTTCCAGCGGGGAAAGCCACAGTCTGTGTGCGGATGTCGCAACATGCAGGCGGATGAGAGCTGTGTGAAGTCAGCAGCAGCGACACTGGACGCCTGCAGTGTGGCCTTCAAAATAAAAGTGGTTACGTATTTATTTATGTAAGCGCAAAGTCAGGGAACAGAGTTTGTGACATCTGTGCCAGATGTGTGTTGTCAGGTCAGAGGCTAAACTGACTTCAATAGGCCCAAAATAGTTTTTCAGCCATTGTTCCTCCTAAATCAGTGTTTGTTTATGATTCAGGTGATTTCTTTAATGCTTGCGTAGATCAGGGTTTCTCAAAGTGGGGTCTGGGGGTCCTTAAGGGTTCTTGGGAGGTTGTAGGGGGTCCCTGGCAAACTACGGACTGTTTGACTAATTTAGGACTGAATTTCATACAGTTCCTGTCACAAAACATTAAAAAAGCAAAAAACTTTTCAAATAGCGGTTGTCAGTCTAGTTAATGTCGGTGAAGGGGTCCTTAAAGTGCAAAAGTTTGTGAGCCACTGGCTTAGAAAATGGAATTAAGGAATGAAGAGGGAAATGTGTCAGCCTCACCTGCAAAATATCTCATATTTGTTTTCACAAACAGGAATAGTTTACTTAATCCATCAGCTATGTTTGATTTGGTGTTGGCCATGCATGTCCATAAACCTTCCAGTTTATAATTGTAGAATAGAAGACAGATCAAATATTCAAATACTATTTGGTAGGCTGTTGATTGCATTTCTATAATTTGGGAAGGAAGTGTCCTTTAAATTCTCTTAGATTAACCTTTTGTGGGTAATGTTTCAACGTAAGACATATTTTCCCCCTGGTTTCAGAATGTGCTTGTGAAAGGATGCTGGTGTTGTTTATTTTGAAAGGTGTGGCAGGATTAGTTTTCTTTGCATTGCGTTTGCTTTGCAGGTGGTGCGTGTGATTCCAGAGGATGTAAGGCTGCACCTCTGTTAATGGGGGAATATTTTTAGCCGGTGGGAGGAAATTCGTCACTGGATGAAACAGTTTTTAAACTCACTGTTGTATTCTCACTGACTTCTGCCAGAGTGTCAGTGACAATGACCTACACAGAGTTTGTGGAACTCAAAAAGGAAGTTATGATACTAACAAAGTTTTCACCATCCACACTTTTATCAAATATTTGTCTTCAAGCTTTTTTATTTTAATTTATTCTGCATGTATTATAAACTCAATAAAAAAAATACTGAACACCACTATACTATATTTTTTACATTTTGTATTGATAATTCCACCTCAAATACACGTTCAGAGGCAGTTGAGATCAACTAGCTATTTAGCTATTTGGGAATAAACTTGAAACAAAGCTGGAGAATTTTTAAATAAATAGTTAATTAATAATCAATGAATTTGTTCCTTTCCCAGGTGACTGTCCACCCTGGTTGGGGAAGTACTTCTCTGCAGCCGGTAATTCAATCCTTGTACTGCAGACCTTTAAATATCTCACTTGAAAACCTCCAAGCAGCCACGTGGTGTAAGGTGAGACATTCCCAGCCCGGTACACTAACCAGTCTGACACGATCAGTGGACTGAGAGCATGACCAGCCTGCGCTGCACTCTGGCCACTTCAGACCTGTGATTTAAACTGTTACTGCACTTTGGAGGACTGTTTTCAAGTGCCTGGAGGGGATTTCTGTGGTGAGTCCCCGAGCCCATTGCCTTCCCTTCTCTTCTGTGTCGATCAGCTATGCTTTCTTCTTTTTTTTGTCGGCCTACCCTGAGCACCTTGCAGTGAATGGAGAACATACTGGATTTGCTCCCGAAGCACCGACAGGAACACGGGCTCTGCAGACGCTCAGCTGCATGTGCCTTGCTGCAGGTTTTTTCTCACAGAGCAGTTTTCTCCTTGTCTTTAATAGCAACATTCACTCCCTGTAAACCTCTTTAATGGGATAAATCAATTGGACTGATCAGGTTCAAAACCAGATCAGGAAGAAAATTCCATTTTGACTTTGCCAAAACTATTAGGCCAAGGTGCGCTGACCTTTCTTTGTCAAGCCCACTGTCTTCCAAAGGCTTCCGCATGGTACTTTGGTTGAAAGAACAAGAAAAACTCCCCGACATCGACATGTCCTCCGGGGCCATTGAGGTGAAGAAGGAGGGAGGCCCCCTGACACCGGCCCACCTCAATTCCAATTGCTCTGTCCACCCGGTAATCCTCACCCAGGGCTCTGAGGAGGTGAGCCCAGGGACCGGGGGTGAGTTTGAGCTCACAGAGGTCACATCTTTCACAGAGAGGGCCGGTGAGACCGGGGAGGATGAGGAGAGGTCAGAGATTGTGGTGGCGCTGGACTGCCGAGCCAACGCCAAAGGTCAACGGGAAGAGGATGCTCTCCTGGAGAACGCAAGTCAGAGCAACGAGAGTGACGACACCAGCACCGACCAGAGCCCTGAACCACCGGTTCCACTCAAGGAGACCTCCTTCTCCATTGGCCTACAGGTGGTTTTCCCCTTCCTGCTGGCCGGGTTTGGGACAGTGGCAGCAGGAATGGTGCTAGACATCGTCCAGGTGAGTGATCCAAATCCTATAGGGAGTAAACAGCATTTACTAATAAAATAAATTATGTAATTTTTATCTAATAAGAAACTGCTAAAGCAAAATAAACAATTCAGTGTAGTTAGTTCCCCCTTGAAAAAATATTCTTCATATCGACAAAGAGGGTCTGCCCCTGTAAACAAGTAATGGAAATGATCGATGGCATTACTGTTTTGAAGTTAATGGAGGTTCAGAAGTGTAGCAGCTGAAACAATTTCCCACCAACAATTTAAGAGTATTGCAGTAGTTGTATTCAAATGTCTAAAAACCCTCGTTCAGATGTTAACGTAGTGGTTAGGTTCCCTTTTCTTACAGACCAGTTATTTGTGAGAAACAACCGGATCTCTGTTTTGTTTAACCCCCCAGTAAAGTTAATCTAAGTTAATCCACTGTAGTTGTGTTTGTGAGCAGAGCCGGTGCTCCAGGCAGACTGTGTGAACTGAGTTGCACTGAGTAAGGGGCCATGGAGCATTTGAATTAACTGGTTAAGCAATCCCTGTTGGCTGTGGCATGTCTGCTGCCTATCTGCTGGAATGCCTTGAAAGTGTCACACACTCATCATTCCATTAGAAATGTGACATACTTTGATAATGTCTGTCTTTCCTTCTTTTCCTATATGAACTCATCGTAGTTGCCGTCCTGCTCAGAGTACATCTAAGTGTGTGGTGTAGAAATGCCAGCCAGAGTCATGCGGACAGGTCATATATTTCTTAAAAGTCAGCTTGTGGTGCAGATAAAGCTGGAGGTGTCAGGCTGCCAGGAGACCAATCCAGGCACATTGTGTACACGCATACTGATGCCAACATGGCAGACCCCAAGAACTCGGCACACAGGGGAGGGGGACAGGCAGGGGAATAAGTGTTGTTTCTTTGAGCACCTGAAATGGCAGAACACTACTTGGGCTAGAGTCTGAGTGAAAACAAAACACAGTGCGGTGTCAAAGCCTCTATTACTATGTGGTTAGGTATCCTCACTAAACCAGGAATGCAGAGGTTTGAGGTCAAAGAAGTTTTCATGCTGCCTCAACTTAGGCACCATGCTGTTGCGGTTTCTCCAGTTTCCAAAACACTCAGTGCACAATTCCTTCAGAGGTGGGGCAGGGAAGCAGGAGATACAGATGGTACAGGGCCTTATCGTTCCCCTCGAGTCAGCCATCCTCGTGACTGTGGGCAAACCTTAAAGAAATGTCTGCTATGAAATGCAAAGTGAAGCTTGTCGGAAGCAACTGTTTTTATGGGTTCATCTCGAGCATCGAGCCGGTTGTCTCACTGCCTAATTCCCCTTCCATGATACCGTGAATCGCTAACTCAGCTAATCCTCCCTGCCCTTGCCGGAAGGTAATTGTCTCTCCCTCTCTCCTCTCTCTCATTGGTTTGGTTTGACCGTGCCAGTTCCTTTGCTAAACGTGAGTTTGAAAACTCTGAAATGTTTGAGCCAGTAATTAATGTGCCTGTCAGTCCGTCTGAGTTTAGAAGTTGCGGCTTGGATCAGTGCATGACTTGGCATTATACACCACTCTGTTTAAGACTTCTTTGAAAAATCTGACCTTCTGAACATTGTTCACTTGGACTATCTGTAGAATACACACACACACACACACAGAACTTCTGTCCACATTCCAATTCAAGGGTGGCCCAGAAAAGACTGTCCAGACTGGTATAGAGGAGCAAGGCGTCTGCATAGTTCTGCTCAGTGACTTGGTAGCAGCAGTGGCAGAATGACCTAATACTGTCAGTCTCTCACCACCAGGGTGCTCGTATTTTTTCTAACCTGGTTTAAATGAAACCCCGCCCACTTCTTTATTGCTTTGGGTTAACGGGTCGGCCACTGTCGACTTCTGTCATACGGAAGTCGGCATGGTTGTGTCTAAGCTGGGTTGATAGACAGCTTCACAGCCCCAGACATGTAGTCTGAGGCTGACTGACAGGCTCACTTGGACTAAAGGTTAAACATGGTTTGTAAAGGTCATGCGTTGCCAGTGCTAAAGCTCAAATAGATGATTTGTGACTTGCAGTCACAAGACACAGTTTTAGGTTCTATCACCTACAATTCTGTATTATGGTCAAACTATAAATCAAGACTGCAAAAAATTGTCTGTCGTGTGGTGTCTGTAGACTGAAAAAATAAAGCAAATAGGTGGGACTTCAGCCTCAAAAACAAACAGTAAAACTACAGGCAGCAGTAAACAGGAAATCATGGTAGACATAAAGGTTAAACACCAGCCAAGCCCTCACTGCCCACCAGACACCATTTCACTTCAACCACATCCACTTGTCTGGTTTTTACTCAGAAACCACTGTGAAAACAGAGCGTGGGTTTATTCTCTCAAAATGAATCATCTTCAGCTACTTGGTTTCACTAACTGCCTCTGAGAGACAGAAGTTGTTACAGCTCATACTCAAAACGTATGCAGCTGTATTCTATTTATTTTTTCAGGATTAGTCTGTCAGCCCCCAAAGTTAAGAATATATGATCTAATGGACCAAAACCATTTCATCCATTTCAGCCAATGGTGTCCAATCATTTGCACTGATTGACTGCTTCTATTCATATTGGTCAGCCTAGTAATCATTAACAACTTATTAGCTCACACCTATTAACACCTGACTATCACTCACATCATGGTTAGGATTGAAAGGATTAGCAGGTCAGAATGCTTTTGTGTTGCACCAAGCACTGGCTAATCTTTCACTCTGTCCAGAATCCTTGCAGTGTTCTAGGTTGCTTGTCTCCTTGGTCAGAGAGGTCAGGCTTTGCCATCTGTCCACCCTCATCTAACCCTTGGATGGGACATGAACCACAAGAAAGAAAATCAAAACATCAAATAAATGTTTCTCAGGGACTAAAGCACATTTTTAAAATGTAATTACATTTTTTTCATTAAGGTTTTCCTCCCTGTTTATTTGTTTGTACACACAATAACTCTGGTGTAGTAGAAATCTTCTCTGAGACTAGGCGTAAAGCTTGATCAGGACTTTTGCAAAAACATTTGGCAGAGCTTCCATGCTCCTAATGACACCATTGAAATGAAACTCTATTGCATTTGTGTCACTAGAAAATTGTATCTGTCCCTCACAGATAGAGAGCCAACTTAAATTCACTGAATGCAGGTCCTCGTGATCGTCAATGTAATGTCAATAAGGTCTTGTTGCATTGCTGAAGCTCACATTTCATGATTAACTCCAGTACAGGCTTTAAATTTGACCCTCCATGGTGTGTGTTAGCATATGAGGCTGGACCCCAACTCTACTATTTGTGCGTCAGCATCAGGAAAATAAAACACACACCACCTGGTGCTGCGACACTCTGAGTGCCGTTTACATTACATGCCATCATGTTCAGCCTCTCACTTAGTACTGCAAGTACTGTGATCACAAATAAAATGGGGCCATGTTACTCAACTGGGCAACTCGACCCTTGTGGGGCTTGCATACCAGAGCTCCTATAGGTCTGTACACAGTGGTACTGGGGTTGTCCTGTAGAGTTCTTAGAAGCAAGGAGGTCGCCATGAGGAGGGAGGGCTTGTTTGGCTCGGAGCCAGTGTTCCATGGAGACAACAACATATATCACCACGGGGAGGCAAAGAGGGAGATAGGGGATTGAGACAGAAGTAGAGACAGAGAGAGAGAAAGCTTGAAAGCTTGTGGCTGTGAAAGAAGAGAGGAGCGCTCTCAGAGGTGCTCAGAAGTCTGCTGGGTTGGCAGAGGGCAGTGAGCCAAGCTGAGGGGTTGGCTGTTAGAAGAGAGCTGTGCTTGGCCTGACGACAGCAAGGGGATAGACAGAAGGAGTTTAACCCACACTGGAGTTTTGGTGCCACACCTACTGATACAACTCACAGTGAAGTGAAGACGACACCCCTTATCAGATCTGTACATCTGGATACACAGTGGGAGCAACACACTGAAACAGATATGCAGGCTTGCTGGTGTGAGAAATGCAGGACACTTGTGTTTGTATGTTGCTTCAACATCAGCTACTCTCTATTTTCCTGCCCTTGTCTATTTTCTCTCCTCTCCCTCTCTTTTCTTTTCTGTGCCAGCCTCAGTGAATATTGATTCAGCTTGGGGCAGACTGGACTGTAAGTGCTGGGGGCCTGTGGGAGCAGCTCCAAAGATAAGCACTTTTACTGGAGAAAGATCGATGGCCTCGGCCTCAGCAACTGCTTTGTTTCTGGCCACAGTAGAACACAAACCTGCTATCACTGCACCAACTGCAATGGATGCTCAGCAGAAAGTGGCACTTGACCAAGCCCTGGGAGTCGCAGGCAACCCACCTCTAAAAGACTGGCCAGCTGCCAGGGAGGAGGGTATCAAGGATCAGGTCTAAGAATACAGACTATAAGCGTCATGAAAGGCCATCTACTAGGATGTGGAAGCATGGCTGAACAAACACGTGCACTTGCACATGCTAGACATGTTTTTTAATTTTCTCAAGTAAGCCCACCACCTGCTCAAGTTGCACTTTTTGCTACACACTACGTCTTTGGTTCGGGGGGCTCATGTAGACAGCAAACATTTAGCTCCTTTATGCTGAAGTAGGGGCTGAACCGTAAGGCAAAGGAAGCAGCAAAGTATGTCCTGCTGCTGTGTGGATTTATTATTTCCATTATTATAGCTGGTGTACTGAGCCCACTGTTATCATGCCATTACCATCTTGTTTCACTTCATTCATTCAGCATTACATTTGACACATGATGCTACCATTTTGTTTGCTTGGAATAAATGCTTTGAACAGCCGATTTAACAGTTGTTATTTCTGAAGACACAGTTGACGCCCTCCTTCTACTGCTGTATTTCAAGATTGTTGCACTGTAGCTTTAGCTAGGAAAGAATAGAGGCTTATGTTCAGATTCTTAATCCTGCCTTTACGAAGATCCAGTTCGATGACTGTTTCTCCAGCTAACAAAACTAGACCTGGATAACAACAAATTAAATATGTGCTTTAGAGGTGTGGAACCAAGCTAGAAACTCTACACACTCTTAAGAGAATACATGAAGGCAGACTTATACCAATAGTTTTATTTGATTTTGATATTTACACCAGCAATGTGTATTTACAAAATTGTCAGTACTTGCTTAAGTAGTAACATTCTTACCATAACTAGTGATGTAATACATCATACATTCTAGTGAGATATGAGGCCCTTTATATTTAAACACTTTATATTTACATCAGGAGCGAGTCCTCTTTATGGAGGCCTCCATGTTTTTTACAGTTTTCCAGACTGGACAAACTAAACATCTTTTGAGTTTTTATGACAACTGAAGGCTACCACAGGTTCTCTTTCATGATTGGAAGGGGAGGGTGACCTGAAGGGTATTCAGCTGCAACATGAAACTTCACCATGCACAGAGAAGAATGAATGGAGGAGGGCAGTAATAAATCATTTCAGCATGAAGACCCACTGACCTTGTTGTTGTTAAAGGAAAGCCAGCATGATACATACTGTAAGGACAGACTATCTGTTCCATCATATAGGTCTGGGTACACCACTGAATCAATATGAAAGAACAAGGTCACACAGACCCGGAGACATTCTGCTCCCAAATAAGGATTCATTTTGTCGATGTATGTGACAGGGTGTCTCTGTGAATCAGATATGTTCATTTCAATATTGTATTGTATTGACTGTTGTTTTTGATATTACATGTCATCGTTGCAGCACTGGACAGTGTTTGTGGAGGTGTCGGAGGTGTTCATCCTAGTACCAGCGCTGCTGGGGCTCAAAGGCAACCTAGAGATGACCCTGGCATCCAGACTTTCCACAGCGGTAAGAAATGTAGCAGTGTGTGTGTGTGTTTGTGGTTTAATAGTCGCACTAAGTTTGCAAAAAATGTGCATGCATTGTGAGTCCCTTTGTGAGCTTGACGCTAAGAATATTTAATAAAAATGTCTTACTGATTGTGCAATGAACATCTTGATTGCTAAATAGCAAAAGAAGATTTGGAATTAAGTTCAGCATAATATTAAATATGTATTATTAACCTAGCTTGCATGTTCAACAGTTATTCAATCTGACAGATCAGGTTACATTGTTAGTGAGTCACCGATAGTTAAGTATGACTTGACATAATAACTTAACATAAATCCAATGAGCTGAGCAGCTCAATCCTGGCTGAGGAAAGTGTGAGACAGATAGCGTGTGCTGCAAAAGGTCCTGGAATGTAATAGGGAGCGACGGCTGCATCTCCAGATTTCACCACCAACAAAAGTACATTCTTCAAAGTCTGCAATACTGATATTGATCTCCGTAATAGTTTCTATTGTATTCCATTAATCAATTGGAAAAATGTCTACACAGTATTTATGTCTGTTTAATTATTTGATTTATTTTTCTCTGTATAATTCTACAAAACTTCCTGTGTAGATATAACTTGGAGGATTGTTTCAGTCGTTCCCTCCGTAGTTACCCAATCTGTCTCATTGCCTTTAACCTCTAAGATCCATCAAAGCTGATTGTTCCTGGGGTCAGAGGTCATATTGCCAACGTGACCTGAGTTTCACAAAAACTGATAGCAGCATTCCTGTCCTGTGTTTCAGCTTTCAAACTTCTGTCTGAATATGTTAATTATCTCGGACTGAGTAGCAAGAAATGATGTGAACAAAAATGTATTTACATTCTGCCGAAAGGCTAACTCTGCTGTGTTGTTAGAGTTACAGGTTTTTTCACCAGTAGAACCTGATGCTGTCACTTGTACCAACACTAGAATGCCTCTTTCTGAGCGAAACAGTACCATTGTCCTTTGTGTGCTTTGAGGGGGTCACTGACCTTGTAACATAGCTAACCAGAGGTTAGCAGCAGACTCCTTAGTTATTAAGGTATAAGAGCGTTATTACCAAATTAGTGTTGCTCTTAAGCGCACCAATCCTCACATTCTTTCCACTGGCCTGTATGAAACAGGTGATGGGGCTGATCAGCATTGCAGGCAGCGGCCCACCCAGCAAGGACAGCTCAACTTATTCACACCGTAAAAAATTGGTTGGAACAAGACTTTGAGAATTAGACAGGTGACACAAGTGAATCACACTCAACACATTCATGTTCCCAATGCTGTGTTTCTATATGCCTATATATCAAGCTACAGAGCTGCAAGTTACCAAATGTACAAATCTTTATTGTATCGACTAAATGTATTAGCACTGATTTTTTACCTTCATTATATTATTTAGTCAAGGTCTTACAATTCAAAAAGGGATCCAACGATCTGATTGGTTATGAGCCAATATGAGGTATTGGTGGTAATGGGGCCGATCTATGCAGTATGTTATTCTAAATCTACGTCTTCATTCTATGTCGTGCATCGGTACCTGAACACTTTGATAAAAGGAGAGCTAATGGCAGGAGCTTAAAACAGAGGGTCAGCAGTTTGGAGGAATGTCACACTTGAAATTTATTTCCTATTCTTTGCTACCAGGTGTCTGGTGTTGTGTGATAAATTATAGGACAAGATAGACTTCATTGTCCTTGTGGGAAATTGACCTTGAACACAGTGTCTACAGTATGAAAACACAATGGAAAACAACACATACATTTATCCATCATTTATCTAAATGGATAGAAAAATCACATTATTATTTTGATAATAAATTACAATTTATTAATTGTATATATACAGCACTTATGTGTTACATTCTGTTTTATGAAACTAGTAAAGTGGTGGATAGGTCAAGTCTGATGTTTCCGTAGACGGAAAAGAATGATCCCAGTCTGTATCAGATTGATGGGCCAATACACAAGGCCCAGGTAGCTTTTTTTAGTTAGTGTTTTATTTGAGTTATTTTTCAATATTAATTCAGCACACGGAGGTGAAGGTGAATCAGTGTAGGATTTGGAAGTTGCTTCAACAGTGTTTCACCAACACTTCAAAACTGACTTAGCTGCTTTATCTTTGGAATCACAGCTGTGTTCAAAGTATAACTGAATATGTCTTGAAATAAATCACTGTAACATACAAACTATACTATGTAGAAACCATGATACAGGCCGATTTCATATTGACAGCAAAGGTTTTCAGTTCAACATAAAAGTGTTCTCACTTCTATCATCACAAAGTACGCCAGAGTCTGGTGTTTGTCCTGAGACATTACTGTTGGCTCTCTGCTGGCTGGCCCCAGCGGGACCACGTTTCTTTCCACACTGCCGCTAATTATGAGGAGATTAAGACCACTGTAAGTTTCCTAATGCGCTTATTACTGAAAAAAATCATGTAATCCCTCATACTGGCTGGCTGTAGGAGTTTTCATTTCACATGACCGTGTTTTCTTTTTCATTTTTTCCCCTTTTGTCTTTTTAACCTCTTTGTCTTTGACTATTTTACTGTAATGAGGCTTGTCCCCTGTTTTCATTATCATTGGTCTGACTAAAAAGAAATTAGTGGCTGTTTTCGCAGTATTCTTTCATTCCCTCTCATGTTTTGGAGCTTAACTGATTGTACGGATTTGGAAAAGGATATTTTGTGAATTATTGAAACTTGGCAGCACCTGTAAGTTGCAATGTAGGTGTAACAGTGTACGTTACACGATAATCAGAGATTACAACCACTACAAAATCCTACTTTATCCTCATTTTGTGTGTATTAAATGTGTCGACATACACTCAATTCATGTTTGTTTGGATTCCAACCTTGTAAACAACAGATTTTCCAGTGGAAAATTAATGGTGTTATAATTCAACTGAAGCTTTCAAATCTCAGGGTATTTCAGCCTCTCATACACCTTATGTCATTCATCATAAATCATTTTCACAACCATTTCTCTGATGATCCAAACACTAATCCACACACACACACACGCACACACACACCAAAAGCAGAGGACTTGGCATCATATTCACACAACACCAGGCGATGCTTATGTGCGCTTCATCCATGTGCTGCATCACTTGTTCGAAAGCAAATTTTGTTTTAAAGCATTTGTTGTATGAAATAATGACTCCTTAAATGAGATCCTGAGGAGGTTAAGAGATGAAAAGTTCTGCCTGAATGCAGCTGCATGAGACTCTTAGACATGAGACACATGTACAGTAAGTTCATTGATTGAGTGGTGCTCCCAGTCCTGTGTGCTGATGTTTAGTTCTCTCTTATCTGGCTGCCTTAAACCACCTTATCTGTGTTTGTGCCACCCTGTGAGCGATGGCATGCCTGTTATTACAAGGAGATGTCCATGCGCATATTAGCATGATGCTGATGTACAAGGTGTGATGTTTGCATGGTTGTCATTGCTGTGTATCTGGGAGATAAGCAGTTTATAATGACGTACAAACCTAAAAACATGTCAATCAAGCTGGTGAGTTTACCCTGTCAAGCTGCCAGACATACTGAGTGGGGATGGTGCGATACACACACACACACACACGCACACACACACTCTCTCACTCACACTATCTCACACGTCAACACCCACAAAGTCATATAACTAAGGCAATGCAAGGTAAATTATGCATAGACAGAGGTCATTGAGTGTGCTTGACAAAAAAATGTAAACATTTATTAGAAAGGTAAAATGGTAAGAGAAATATTTTTTAAAAATCACCATAAAAACTGTATAAAAGCTCAAATTATATAATAGGTTAGACAGAGTTTGAGCAGATCTGATATCTACTGGGAGCTGGCTCCAGCAGTTGGCAGCATAGTGGCTAAATGCCATTTCACCCTGTTTAGTTTTAACTCTGCACCACTACAGCTGACCAGCTCCTGCAGATCTGAGAGACCTGTTATATAAATCAAATGTCAGAAATATAGTCAGTTTAGTGTCTTGTAGAATTAATAAGGCTCTGATATCAATCAATCCGTTAACTGGAAGCCAGTGTTTAAACCTGAGAATTGGGATTGAGAGCTCAGAATTCAGTACTAATATCGAAACCATCCCACTATTAGTATTCAGTCCTGAAGATACTCCTGTAGGCTAATCTTTAATTTGACAGTTTGGACAAGTTCCTCAAACTAAAGCTGGATTACTCATAAAAAGCTAAGAATAATGGATAACGTGTGAGCAAACACTTGCGTACACATAACAGCAGAATGTGTACACAGAACATTTGCAGCCATGTTTCTGGCCACCGTTTAATTTTCAAGTCAAATATTTACTCAAGTTTATTGAGCCAAATATATTAGAATTTTAAGCAGTGAGATATTTACACCAGCTAATCGCTAAATTGTTGCTAAGCAGCTAGTTGCTGTGGAGCTCGGCAGGTAATGAACAGTTGGTTCAATGCTGTTTGCAGGAAATGACAGTAAGCAGGTTTGATGGGAGCTGCGTGAGAGCTTCGACGTTGCCGTACTCAATGTGTACACACTGTTGGAACATTTGGGGCACGTTCTCTTTGGTTTTGCCTCCAACTACAGTGGATTAGATCATCCCGATCTTTCACAAACCAGAATTTCCACTTCCCTAATCAAATTTGAATTTAGTGTATTTAGTTTTATAAGCGTTTACTTTTTTCAGATCACAATTCATCCTCTGAGTTAGGAAGCCCAGACTTGTATGAGTTGTCATGTGTCCAGATGTTTCCCTTCCCTTTGCATATGTAAATGTTAGTGGACAGAAAAGAAGAGGAGATCTTCTGTTTGTCTCCTCTCACTGTGGATGAGCATTAGGATCATTGCTCTGGACACACAGTAGCCCACTGTCGCTACAGATACTTGATGCTTGAGACCACTGGTGTGTATGTGTACGTGTGTGCGCGCTCGTGTTGGTGTGAAAGAGAGGAGATGAGATAAGTGGAGGCGGCCGCAGGGTGGGGGATCAGATCAGAGTGCCTTTGTCCAGAGAACTGACATTTTATTGTTCTGATGGGACCAAGAGGCAACGGCATGTACACGCACTGTGCACCCACCCACCCACCCACACACACACACACACACACACACACAGACGATAATGTGTTGACCTTGTGTGTTCTTCTGTCTCTTTCAGGCTAATATTGGTCAGATGGACACAACCAAGGACATGTGGAAGATGATCATGGGGAACTTGGCCCTCATTCAGGTAAACGACACACAACACTCAACTCCAGTGTCACGGAGTATCTGACCCGGTTAACCTGCACTTAACAAACCACGTTACTGGGCGAAATCTGGTTACGGCAATGAATCAGATAATGAGTTAAAATATGTTTCAGTTGGATGGTCATAATGCTCTAAAGCTCAGTTTACATGCAGTTAGTGAATAATCCAATATCGCATCCTTTTCAGTTTAAGTTAATTTTTGCATTCACGCTTTATTTAGATGTGAAGATGCAGAGTGATGATGTTTCTTGTCATTTAGCTGCACTTCTGTGACAGGGACATGGGTCCAGGATCTTTATCATATACATGCACAAAAAACTGATTACAATTTTTACACGATTAAATTGTCACATTTCTTCATCATAACTAAATAAAGTTCTCTAAATTAAAATAAGAGAAAACTAGAAAAGGAGACCCTGGTTCTCATCTACAAAGTTTTTTAAGAGATCAAGTTACAGCCAGACCAGGGAACAGGGTGGTTACATAAGTCAATAGTGTTTACGGTAAACACCAGGAGCGATCATGATAGGGCACATACAACATGTATGACATGTTCTCAACACATGTTCCGATCAGAAACCAGTAAGCCAATCACACTCACTGTACAACTCCCACTTATTGTGTGATCTGATTCAGATTCAGAATAAAACACTTGTATTTCATGTTATTTACCCACATGTGCAGCCATCAGGGACCTTTAGGTTTATGTAGCTTATTGATCATGTGGATCAGACAAACCAGGGGATCGAACCACCAACATTAGTGGACGACCTACTCCATCTCTTGAGCTACAGCCGTCCCTGTGCAGTAAGTTGTTCAACCCAATCAGGTTTAAAAAACTGGACTGTGGATTGGGAACTGGAGGCTAACAAGCTTATATCAGCATTTGCACAAAGACAATTAGATCCAGCTCTTGATGCTGACTAGAATTTCTTGAAAATGGAAACAACTGCAAGTTATATTCTCAAAAATCCTGCAAACCCACTATTCAACAAAACATGATGGCTATGGGACACAGCCCTATGACCCTGGGCTTCACTACTGACATGGTGTGTCTTAAAATTTAGACAAAGATAAACTTAAAGCCAGGAAGGCAAATCTCTTTTTTAGGTAATGTAAACTGCGACTAAAGTAAAATACACTTTGAAAATTGAAATGTACAAAACCAGGTTTGTACATTTGTACACAACTGATGAGACGTCCCCAAACCTCTGCTGGTGTTTGCTAACATCTGCTGGTGAACCTTGACATCTGCTGCTGGTTGGTGTCATCAAATACTTCCTCATAATGACTGACTACCTGGGCTCACACTGCGGCCTCTTCCTCTCTGCTGTTTGCACTACTTCACTGAGCGGATACTGTACAAAATATGAGACTAGAAACTTGATTAACAAACGTTCCATATTTCCAGCACGTGAAGTCAAACCCTCTGTCAAAGCAGCTGGACGTTGCAGAGCTTGGTGATGTAACATAGCTCTAATGCAACCAGCCTCAACATGAGCAGAGGTCGATCAGCAGGAATACCTGAAAATATCTATATCCTCTGCTGGTGTATTTATACTACATACATATATATATGTTTTTATATATATATGCATGTGAATATATTAATATGAATATTTAAACACTATTCAATCACCAAAATGAAGTCTTCATTGTGTCTCAGAGAGTCAGTCACCTCTCCTGTGGGGCTGTCATTTGAAGTGGGCTTGTTATGTAATATCTGGAGAATCCTCACAGGGGCTCACACCAGGGCTCATGATGTCACCAAAGTTTCCAAATGTGTTAATTTGTTAATCTTTTAATTATTTTGTGTTTAGAGATGATATTCTCTTAGAATAAAAGCATAACTGTGAGTGAGTGAATTAATGACTGATGGAGGTTTTCTCTTGGGTTTATGGTGTTAAGTAAGTGAATATGTCATTTTTATTCATGAAGGCAAAGCTTCAACAGTGAGTAGGAACTGGTGCCCTGATGTGACAGCACAGTCACGTATTCAGAACATCTGGAGTTGTGATGACTGCATTCAATGGCTGCATGAACCACTGTAATGTGTGTGTGTTCAGGTCCAGGCCACAGTGGTGGGGTTCCTGGCCTCCATAGCTGCTGTGATCTTCGGCTGGATCCCAGAAGGACGCTTCAGGCTCGGCCACGCAGTGCTGCTGTGTGCCTCCAGCGTGGCCACTGCCTTCATAGCCTCTCTGCTGCTGGGTACCATTTCATTTCACTTTATTTTCTCATTGTTTCCCGAGGGGGGGGACACTGGTCCAAAAACACAGCATTTAACAAAATGCTACAAATACCTGTAACAGTAGACATACAAATAAGTAGCTGCAGTGGAAGTCTCAAACTGAAGTTAATTGGTCACTATACAGGATGTGAGTTATAATCACAGTGTAAACATGTCATCAGGCCTGTCAGTGATTCATGTGACTCTGTGCTTTAGTTAGCCAGTCGGAGTTAGTCTCTGTGAGACAAAATGGTGCGAAATGCTAACGTGACCATGCTGATATGATCCAGGGATAATGCCTAACAGATGTTTGGCAGGAATAATGTTTATCATAGGATGTTCGCCGTCACATTAACCATGTTAGCCTGCTAATATAGGAACATTTGTTTTGTTTTTCTTAAGTTTTATTTGACCAGTTGAAGGAGCAAGACAAAAAGTTATTTACCGAATTGTTCTTATCCTGGTGGGGACATGAGCATGTGCAGCAAATGTCATAATAATCCATCCAGCAGTTCTGGAGTTATTTCATTTAAAACCATAAATGTCAACCTCATGATGCCATTAAATGAAAAGTCAGACATTCACAACAATGAGTATCAAAGTGTCTCTTCTCTGAACCGTCGTGCTGTCCCATCTGACATGTTTCTATAACCATGCTACCAAAGATTAAAGTCGATTTTGCAAAATGTCAGGTCGACATTGGATTATTAAAGAAAAAAGTATTTGCAGTGCAATTTGAAATTATTGTAGAGTATGATAAGAAATTGCTTTGATTCATTCACTAGCTTTGTTCATTTTCTATTAGTATTGGCTGTATTGTATATTTTATAGCCTTGATAATACCCTGTAATCTTCTGAACTGTGTTCTGCTCTTAACACTGGTTTGAAGTCATTTGTCATAAAACACTCAATGTTGAAAATCCCACAGGGCTCATCATGATCGGTGTGATCATTGCATCCAGGAAGGTGGGCATCAACCCTGACAATGTGGCCACACCAATAGCTGCAAGTCTGGGAGACCTGATCACCCTGTCCCTGCTGGCAGGCATCTCAACAGGACTGTACAAGGAACTAGGTAATGCAGTCAAACACCCAGTTCACGTTGAGTTAAATCTGACACTTTCAGAGTTCCCCTCATCAATGGTTGCATTGTGCTCAGTTTTTCAAGAGAGGACGGTTGTGTTGTTTCGTGTATTTTTAAGCTGTTAAGAGGTGGGCAAGAAGTTCATGAGGAGATGGGAAGTAAAATAAAGTCGTATTGAATTAAATCAAATTAGAAGGTAAAATATTACTGCTCATACAGATAAAGCTAATAAAGATAGATTGTCTTTTTCTGAGTGTGAGGGCCATCAACAATTATCTGAGACTTTGAGAATATTGTCGTAAGATTACAACTAGTTGCAATTGAGAAGAAACTGGTAATATTACAAGACTAAAGTATTTATTGAGTAGAAACTTGTAATATTATGAGAATAAAGTTATTTATACCACCACCACTATCACACATTTCCTCCTTCACCAAGGAAGTTTGGTTCTTTCTTTAAAATAGACAGTTTCTTACACAATCATTTCAAAGATGATACTTATGATTTTGTGCAGCTGATGTGACAAAGTAATATTACCTTATTTGTGCAACTATTACCAAAGTGTAACTTAATTAGCTTCATATTCCAAATTTGAACACAGACAACAGACTGATCTTCAGATAATCAAACTGGAAAATGACACGTCATTGTGACTTTATCCTTGTAAAGTTTTTCTTGTACAAATTCCATAATATTACCACTTTATTCTCCAATTCTCCAAAAAAAATGTCTGCAAATTGAAACAAGTGAAGAAAATAATAAAAACATGGATGTGACATAAATACACAAATGTGTCAAGAATCTAATGAGTCACCAGTGTCTCAAAAACCAACCAACAAGAAAGAGTCCTTAATACAGAAGCAATAGTTCTGATAAAGCTTCATCACAGTGGCTACATTTCTGATGCTACTTCAAAAGCCTCTGTGAAGATGATCTCGTACCAGGCGAGTACAGTGAGGGAAATGTGACTCTGTGTCCAGCTGTGCACAGTAAATAAGGATGAAAGCTGCCCACACCTGACCTCGCTGTGTTTTATGGCGAGAAACTCCGCAGCTGTATTGTTCGCTCCATGATAGTATCCTCACCAGCGACACACCCCCGGCTCAGCCAAACGACCCACAGTTCCTTGGGTTCCACGCCACAGACAAACAAACCCTGGCGCACACAGGACTGAGTGTGGAGTCATTTCATAACTCTTACATCAGTCTGTGTCCACAAACCCGACACTCTTACTCACTTTAAATGCCACAGTCTGCTGCTATATTAAGCTTTTTTGGGTTATTTTGTCTCATACACACAAAAACACAGCTGGTGTTTGGGTCTTGTGGACATACTCTGTTTTTTAAAGAAGTGTTTGTGGTGGTTTGTAGTCTCCTGTGGTGTTAATATAGTTGTAACACTGCCTCCTAGAGACAAGACAAGGTACTTACTGTCAGTCCACACAATCCTGCTCTTCCTCTAAAGCACAAGTAACTTACATTCCATTTAGAAAATATGAAATTCTTTTAAGCTTATTTTTATTATAGTCAAGATAAAAAGGTTTTAACTGGTGCACTAATATTTGCATTGAATATATTTTAAATTTGTAATTTACCACTTCAGGCTCCAGCAACTAAGTTCCTCTGTCCTTTTTTGGATTTTGGTCACATTTAATTTAACCTAAGGACTCTTGTATGATAATAATGATCGAGTACTTCAAACAATAGACTCTTAAAACAAATACCCCGGGCCAGTATTTAGACAGTTACATGTTTTATATACACTCAGAAATAAAAATAAAATCATGAACACTACATTAATGTATCCTTTCAACACATTTTGTCCAAAGTTAAGCGGTTCAAAAGTAACTGGAAAGATTAACATACATGATCATCTTATTTATTATTGTTTTGAGAAATCCTTGACAGACTTCAGCAGACACTTTGCTTTTCTCTCAGAGCTTCACTGCAGCCTCCTTCCCCTCTTGCTTGTTGTGGTGTCTCTCTGTCTTTACTCTGCTCTTTGGAGCATGACAATGAAACATCTGTGCAGTCTTCACCATGTAAATGACCAAGTCATCCACACGTCATGCTCCTCAGTCTACTTGTTAGTCAGCTTGTTCAACACATTTTCTGGGTGCACTTGCTCGCTAGCTTCTTAATTATCCTCTGCACCTCATGTCACCTCTCCAGGCCTCATATTTACAGAAGTCTCCACCTCTATTGAAAGAGCAATTTTCATGTGTGAGCCATTTAGCAGTTTTTTACTACATGAAGTAATGTTGAAATTACAAGAAACATTTAGAAGCCAAATGTCCAGTTGCTTTTGACCCCCTACATTTTGTCCTCTGTCATAATAACGCCCACACAGTTCTTTTTATATGGATGTCAACTTGCTCAAATAAAAGTTTATAGACATGATAAAGTGTATGTTAAAGATATTACAATCACTATCTGTGAGCATGTTTTTCAACTCAAAAAACCTTCTGATTTCAATACGAGGATTGATCCACAGATTTCTCAGTAAAATGTGCCTGATTTGTAAAGCCACCTTTTCTTCTTCTCTTACAGATTACAATGACTATGCCAACCCGTTGGTGTGTGCAGTGTTTGTGGCCATGTGCCCCCTATGGGTGCTGATAGCCAGGAAGATCCCATCAACCAGAGAGGTCCTCTACTCTGGATGGGAGCCGGTTATCATCGCCATGGCAATCAGCAGGTACAGCAAGCAGGCATCATTGTCTTTAGTCAAAATCAATGAAAATCACTTTTACTGTCCATATACTGGAAACATACTCTCAGGCACTGACGTGATATTCCACTGTTGATCACCATTTGTAACTTGATGCCATTTATGCAAATACCTTTTCTTTATTGTCTGTATGTCTCAGATTGTTCTTTGTGTTTTCCTCTGTTATAATCACAGGCCGAGAAGAGAAACCAATAACTTCAGTTCTTTCCACTTGTCTCTGTTTTTTAGTGTCGGTGGTCTGATCCTCGACAAGACCGTCACCGACCCAAACTTTGCTGGCATGGCTGTCTTCACCCCGGTCATCAACGGTAAGGAGCCAAGAAACTGAAAACCAGAAGCTTTTCCATTCACATGACCCATTAAAGATGCCTTTTGGGAATGTGGGGGAAGTTATAGAAAAAGGGCAAGTGAGTGGTGTATATAACTGCAGATAATATGGTAATTAGTCAAATAACTACGTAGAAAATATACAGTTCTAAGTTAGAGGTCAATGTGGACGTTCTATTCTTGGAGATGGGGAATAAATATAGAGAAGTTAAATTTTGTGTATTTAAATGTCGGCACATCTCATCTGTTTTATTAGCGATATGTTAGATGTGTGATGTATGCCAGAGCAAGCATATGTGTTATCACGTGACTTTTCTCTAAGAGTGACAGATGGAGGTAACATATTTCTATTGTGGAGGAAAAATTTTGCATCTCCATGATGCCAAGTTCTTATTATTTCTTGTGCAAAAGATACAGATACTGACTCGAAGCCAGATGCCAATACTAAGAGTGTTTTTTTTTCTCTTTTTCCATATTTACACCCTGTGTGTGTGTGTGTGTGTGTGTGTGTGTCAGGTGTGGGAGGAAACCTGGTGGCGGTTCAGGCCAGTCGTATCTCCACCTATCTGCACATGAACGGTCTACCCATTGGGGATCCCAACCTCACCCCCAGGAAGTGCCCCACACCCTGCACCTCCTTTTTAGGCTCCAGTAAGTCACCGGGCAGCTGTGGAATGTTCCATTTGTTTTCTGCTCATTTTTCCATTATGCCTTTTAGTTCCAGCATCTGCCCTTAAAGAGCAACGCCAAATTTTCTCAGAATTCAAACCTGTTACAGTCATTTTTAACATTACTAATGTGGCTATTTTAAAAGTGGCTCCTCTCTCTCTTCCAGCTGTGAACTCTCGTTCGGCCCGTGTGCTCTTCCTCCTGGTTGCCCCAGGTCACCTCGTCTTCCTTTACACCATCAACTCCCTTAGGGGTGGACACACCACCCTGACGCCCATCTTCATTTCCTTCTACATGGCTGCTGCACTTCTTCAGGTACACACACAGGCACACATACACCGTGTATATGAATACACTTTGTTTTCCGTACAAGCAGTTAAAGAAAAAGTTGATTTGTCCATCTTTGTTTTATTGTTGAAGTAAATTAGGGCTGTAAAAGTTTTTTGGACTATTTAAAGAACCTATTAGAAATGAATCTCAGAATGAAGTTCCCTGTTTGTAATCATCTCCATTAACCAAGTACTTTTAGAGCTTTAATGCAAGACAGTGTACTTTCTACTAAATAGCCATCACTGTGGTCATAAAGGGCATTTACTGGATGATGGCAAAAAGTTAGACAGTACTTGCTAACTTGGTAATGTTAGTTACAATGGCTGACAAAGCAGGTCTAGAGCATATGAGAGCATTAAGGGCATGTTAAAATACTAGCTTAAGGACAAAATAAAGGTTGTTGCACCAGGATCACGGTTGTCTCTTCATCAAAGGTGTGCTTTGGTCATTACCTTCAGTAAAACAATTAGAGTTTCATCTCCTATTCCCTTCAAAAGCTGGGCAATTGCTGTTATTATGGTTGATCAAAGTCAAAGTCCAAAGTCAAAGTCAGCTTTATTGTCAATCTCTGCAATACATACACAGACATATTGAGGAATTGAAATTTCTCAGACTCTTGGTCTCCCCATCAACACAGATTTAAGTAAAAAACAGTAAACACTGAATTAAAAAACAAGTCTTAATATAAGAAAATATCAGACAAATATTAAAAGAAGTATAAGGAGAAAAGGTATAAAATATAAACATTTGCCAAGTAGTGACTGAACACTCCTCTGCAAAGGAAACAGATCTGAAATCTGTTGTAGAGTGTATGTGCATTGTGCGCCTGCTTGTGTAGGCACATACAGTTATACTATCCTGATGATTTCAAAACTGGGAAAAAGTGCATTTTTGTGCAAGATCAGCCTCCAACGAAGTGTTTTTTTTTTAACATTCAAGAGTTAAAGTTGCAGTATTGTTTTACAATTGGCTGTCACCTTTCCATTTTTGTTGAAAATTTGTAAAATAGAATCTCACAAAATATTGTGAGATTGGTTGATTTGGGCTCATTATTGTAGATAATGAAAGTGTAAAATCTGACCCCAGCCAGGAATATCTATCTTTATTTTTCTGAAAGTGTGGTTCCACTAGAATGAAGAATGCTTCTTCTTTGTCTTCCCCCAGGTGCTTATCCTCCTCTACCTGGCAGACTGGATGGTCCACTGGATGTGGGGTCGAGGCATGGACCCCGACAACTTCTCCATCCCCTACCTGACTGCCCTGGGTGACTTGCTGGGAACCGGCTTCCTCGCCCTCTGCTTCCACATGCACTGGTTCATCGGGGGCACAGACACTAATGTGGGCAACTGAATGCACGCACAGACACACGCACAAAAACAAAACAAAACTGTACACTTGCACACATGGACAGTGATAAACCTCACCCATTATCTGAAACTGGAATGTATGTCTACATAAAGGGCTAATCTCTTGTAGGGCTCTCTTTGAGGGTATAGTGCAGTAGGGCAGTAGGGCAGTAGGATTTCAGGATGCTGACGCACCACAGCTGCTGCCAAGAATCCAGACAGAATCTGAGTTTCACTGCAGAAACCATGGAAACATACACATCTCCTTGTCAACTACCCAACAAACCTGCACCTGATGGATCCAACCCCACAAACTCCACTACTCCTCCATTACTTAATAACTTAGTCCTACTACTGTTATTACCACTCTTTTCACAATGATTATAATTGTGGGTAAATAATGTATTTGATAAGAATCGATATCTGTTCTATTTGGATGACCAGTCCTCATTATTTTCAATGGGGACTTTTAGCCCTACCATTTTTGAAGATCAATTTACAACCAAGACGACAAAGAAGGCAAAAAAAACTACATTAAAAAAAATCACCAAGTGCTTTGCCATGTATCCAGAAAGAATATTACATGAAATCGAATGTGTTTCATTCTTGATTTAATAGAATACACGAGGCTCTCTTTGTTTTACTTTGTGGGAGGGAACAGGCTTGGGGAGGGTTTAATACAGGGGACTGGACCACAAACATAACAAGCTAAAGCACTTTTTCATCATTGGATAGTTAAATTTGAGCCAGGGCAGGCAATCAATGTTGGAATTTCTGAGGTTATTCCTGCATAAAAAGGAGCCTGGAATCAGATCAATGCCTAAAAAATGCTAAAATCATCTTGCTACAGGACAGACTCAGCTCCACCTCTCTATTCAAATGTTTCCATTAATTATACCTGTGTGTTTGTTCACACAATAATCTGTCTCTTATCCATCAAACCTCTGGAGTTCACAGAGGTTACATTTTTACCAATTTTGCTGAAAAGTACAGTTGTGATATGTCCTGCAGCAGAAACTTTCATTAAAAAGTGAGCAAACACAAAACTGTGGAAAGTAGTGTGTGGAAAATGCAGACAGCTGTTTGTAAGGAAGGAAAATGCACACACCTCAAGAGTTTGTTGCAGCTCACTTAGATTATTTTTTTTTGTACCAATCGGTTTGTCCTAATTTGGTGAGAATAGCACCAGTCCCCCCGTATGAAACCATCTGCCAGCTCTCTACTTGAACAAGCTTCTAGTTGTTGTTGTGTTGCCCAAGCCAAGCTTACAGTAAGTGACAAGAGGCTCAACATGCTGCAATGGTCTGGAACAAACCTGCAGAGCTTTCCCAGATGGTACAGCGGAGGAAAGTGAGTTCATTTGCCTAAGTCTGCTCATGGGATGTGCTCAGTTGGGTTCAGCTTGCACAGTCTGACCCCACAGTGAAGGTACTGGTTGTGTGGAAATTTGGGAAATGTATGTATTTGATCTAGACTCTTAAAAAACATTTAGGCCGCGCTGGACCACATAATTGTTCAAGTGAAAGCCTTGCTGAATATGTTCTGTGAGGTTGGTTAACAGGTCTCTTTATCAGATGAGGATGTTGGTGTTATTGGTTTTTATTTTGTTTCTATTAGATTCAGATTCACTAAAAGATCAGGGTAGAACTTAAATCAGTCTGAGGACCCAGTGACACCAGCAGAAAACAGCAACAAATGTAGCTGCGCTGGAACAATGACTGCCTACTCTGCTGAATTTGTTGGATTTTGGCACTATCATATAGGAATCTGAGGCAAGCTAAGATATTAGCTGTGTTACACCAATACATTTTATACTAAATGGTTTATTTAGAATAAACTGCCTGCCCTTGTGATAGAGAAGCAGTCTCTAGTGAGTTGTTAGTCAGACGTTCATGTTGCAAACAAAGTTCTTTACTAATTGTCTGATATCTATATTCAGACATACAAATACATTTTGCTCTGGTAGTGTCTGGTGTGATTGGGTCCTTTAAGTTATAGAGAACTTCTTATTATACATAAAAATAATGAAATAATTACACACACATAAACTTCCACTAGACTCAGCCGACCTGAGCTGACTGGCTCTCTGAGGGCTTACCTGTGAGATGGGGAATGACAAAGGAAGCTGTGAGCTGACTTGACAGGCTGTACCGAGTACAGACGTTTACCCAGAGGTGAAGCCCAGTGTCTTAGGAGAAACCTGCATGTGATGCTTATCCGGCGCTTGTCAAACTTCTGTGCTGTTTGAAAGGGGCCAGCAGAATGCATGTGCAGGGCACATAGAATGTGCAAATTGTGATTTTTTTTTTTAATCCGTCAAAAATCTTTTGTTTTGGTCGGACTGTTTTTTTTCTATGTTTCAATGATGTTAAAGTTGTGATTTTTTTCTTTCTATTCCTTCCCCTAATCTTTTTAACTCTTGATGATTCTTTTATTGTGTCATGAATTTCACTGAGCAAAAAAAACACTGTAAAGATGAAGCAACTTCTCTGACGCTGGTCAAACACAAAAGTACTGTAATCTGCAAAATGGACAACAGAGGGCACCACAGGGATTCTCTCAACTGCCCAACTTCTCTGTGCAGCTCTGTGTCCACCCTGAGTCACATTTGTCTTTTCTACAGCATTTACCATGTTGAAAAAGTTGCATCCTTCGATCCGTCATCTTTCAGTCTGTATACTCCACTCTCTTACTGACCAGGTGCCAGCATTCTGCCTCTATGTCAATGGAAAGTTGTGAATACTTCTATAAGAGGGCAAGTAATGCTTTGTCTATTTATTTTTAGAAGCACACAAAGCAAATTGTACATACTATATTTATTCTATATATAAGGTTGTTTATTTTGTAATTTCATTTTGGCTCAGTTTCTTTATAATCATGTTGTTGTCATTTTCTCTTCTCTTTAATGTGTTCTTTTTTTTGTTGTTTTTTTGCAAAGGCCAGTAGAGCTTTTTGGCATATGCCGCAATAGGTTGTTGGTGATGCTAATGAATAGCACAGTGCCTAATACCAGTCTTACACACTTCACACCCATGCACGCACACACACACACACACCTTGTCTCATGCAGGTATTATAAAACATAGAATGGCCTTAACCTATCAGAGCCAAGCTCAAGTCAGAGTAACCAATCAGGAGCTAGGTGTGCCACTGAGTAGCATCTCTTTGATTAGTTTTGATTAATAAAAGATGTACATTATGTTGATTATGATGTGTAATGTAATAAAGACTGTAAGGGCTGGCAGCGTCAGCTTTTGTTCATGTGAATCTGCGAAGATCAGGACGAGCTGAGAGGAAAACCAGCAGGTTGGATTTATAGGGCTCATGAAAGGTCTGAAATCAAATTATGAAACAGTAGAAGTAATATATCAATCTACAAACAGTACAAGTGCAAAAAATGAGGTTTCCTCTGGTATATAACACACGCAGCCTTTAAATCCTCTCATCCAACTACTGCCTTGTTAACCACAGTGCTTCAAACCCTCGAGCCCCTGAACTCACAGGGAACCATGCTGATCCTCAGGCTGCCAACATCCACATCGAGACTTTTATTCAGACTCTAAACGTCCACCTGTCCCAGCCAGTTATATTGCCTATAAGGAAGAAAACGGATGTTGAAACATGTACAGTCTTGCTGGGGCTGAGGTCTTTATGTTCTCTGTGTGTTCTTCTTGTAAAAGCCCTCCCTCTGTGAGGCAGGAGGAAGGCTTTCTCCCTGCAGGACTTTGTAAATTGCTGGAAATAAAGGACTATATTATTTCATACCATCCCCCTGTCAGTGTGTCTGTTTTTCTCTAAGTGGAAATGCACTGATTGTTTTCTTAACTCGGTTTTTACACGCTGAAAGTGTACCTTAAAATTTTTGTAGTCATTTATATCGATATGTTATTTGTTTAGATCAAGATGACTTCCCAACAGGAAGTAAAAGTTCACCCACAAGTACATTAATTAAAATATAAGAACCCTATTGGGCACATCTACATAGACACATTTTACAGAAAATTTTACTTTCATTTATAACTAAAAGTTATACCAGGCACAAAAAGCACTCAATCTAGCTGTATTCCCATTAACATGAGCGTAAAAACTAGCAATTACAAGTTTTATTGTCCACATGGAAACTCTGGGAAACAAATTGTGAGCACAATGCTATTATCCATCTAAATAGATGTGAATGTGTTAGCAAACAACAGATGTCAGCCAACCCAAGCAATCCTTTTGAGGCATGTTTGTGGCCACCTGATGGATGGAAATCCATTATCCACTCTGTTTTAGCTCAGCTAGTCTCCACTACCTCCTGTGGAGGATTTCTTTCCGGTGGTTCAACGTCCAGAGTGTTCACTAACTAGCTAGTTTATGTCTGTAGTTTTCAGCAGGCACTTGTTTTAAGTAACAACTAAAATAAAAATAATTATCAATTGCTAGTTTGCTGGTGAAGCTTAAACTGCTGACATTTCCCTCAGAAGTAGTTGACCAAAAACAGGGCTAACATAGAGAGAATATAGGACTTATATTTAAACAGCAATTACTTGTAGCACCATTGTGGGTTTTTCAAGTGAAACCTTAAAGTTGACTCACTTGCAGTATGTATATTCATGTGTTACGTGTTGTGTTTTCTCTCTGCTCTCTCTCCCCAGTGTGCATTCGGGTGCCTCCCTTTTCTCTGCACCTGCAGTGTGAGTGTGCAAGACTGGCCACAATCACCAATCAAGGCCACGGTGTTTAAAAGGCAGAGAGAAGCAGACAGCAACAACATTTGAGCTGTGTGTGTGTGTGTGTGTGTGTTAACTTTGTTGATCCTTTTTGTGTGTGCTGTTGTTGCTTGTGTGACCCTTTAGTTTCTGTTAGGTTATGGTGACTTTAATTGTTATTGCTGTTTGTCAGTGTTGCTTTCCTTTTTAGAAAGTTGTTTTCTTTTGTTTTCTTTTGTTCATTCATAAGTTGCCATGATTCTCTTTCCCTGGGTTGTTTATCTGTTACTTACTCTGTAAGTGGCCTACACTATGTGACCCTGTGAAAAATGAGTGAAACTACTGTTTTGGTTTTATCAGTGGAAAGTATATTCCCCAGATCAAGAAAGCACAGAGAATGAAATAATCACAGTTCCCTTTCTTCTCTTCAAGGGTTTGTGCATTAAGTTTTACACGAGGTTCCAAGTGTTTGTATAAAAGATTTTATTATTATATGTACCTCTGAAAGTAAGAAAAAGCATAATAGTTCCCCTTTAATTGTTTACATTAAATAAATTCTAAATACAACGCTTAGAGATTTAATGAAGTAAATAAAATTAAACTTTAAATACATTAAAACCAGTTTTAAAATGTGGAATACACAACTGGGAGATTTATAAGGGTGCAAACAAGCCAAAACAGTAGGACAATGATAAAGTACCATCTAAGTAGCTTGTTCAACAGGAGATGAGTAGAGGGTTGGGACTGTTGGTTTGACACCCAGAAGATGTAACACAGAGTTTGTCTCTGCTGTCTCTTCCTCCAACTCCATTGTCCCCTCCGTCTCCGAGAAGATCACTAGAGGACAGATGGAGGCAAAGAGCATCAGCTACCTGTAGGACCCTGGATCGTCCTGGGTGGAGAAATTGAAAAGTACCTTTAAAAAGTGAAGCAACACTAAAATGTGAATATTGGGACCATTTGAAAGCTGTTGAACTGACTCACCGTCTCCAGCCCTACTGCAGACATCAAGAGCGTCCATCACAATTTTCCCCAGCACCCTGCGCGACATGTTCTACAGGAAGAAAAACAAGCTTTTAAAAATCAAATCACATCATGAGTGCAACATGTTCACATACTGTGTATAAGATACACCTGTGAAAGCAATGTGCCCAGAAGCATGATGGGATACACCCCCTGAACTCAACCTCCACTGTCCTTGAATGCAATAAGAAGTATAAAGAACCGTCTGCACACAATTACAATCATGAGTAAATGGATTTGTGATGATAGTAGCTCTCCAGCATAAATGACTGGGATCTGGATCAGCGACTCAAAATGGCCTCCTGGAATGACCTCTAGATGGCAGTGAAGAGGTGTGTCTGCGTGCTGCTGATGTGAATGGTGTGTGGAGTGTGTGTCCTGTGTTTGTGCTGCACCTTGTTGCGTAGCTGCAGCAGCAGTGTGAGGGCAGCGGTGAGTTTCTCCTCCAGCAGAGACAGACGTGTCTTTTCTTTCTCCTCCAGCCTTGTCTGCTCTTCCTCTTCCTCAGGCCACTGCCGGGAGGAAGAACAAATTCATGCAAACAAGCTAAACCAGTTTTGGAAACAGCATTCAGATCTTCAAATACTCCTATAGAAGTGACTTGTGAAATTACAAATGATAGTATTCAGTATATGACTATAGACCTGAAGAGTTTCCTGTTCCTGCACTTTTCTGCCAAGTAATAATAATAATTATAATAAAAATAGTCTGCCCTTCCTTCTCTGCCAGAAGTGTTTTGTTAAACTTGTGTGCAAACTTGTTTTCTGCCTGCCTTTTACTTACTTTTCAATTGACTTCTTGTGTATGAACATTGGATTTGAGAAAAACAACAGCTCTTGCCTTAAACCCATGTCTGTGCATGAGTGTTCTCTACATTGAAGTCTGATTACCCCCCCATTGTCATAATTACAATCCTGTGATTGTTAAAACTGCAGCAGCCGTAAGGTGGTGTTCTTGTTATTGTCTGGTTTAAGCCAGGGTCTCTGGGGTGGAGGGGTCATGAAAAAAAAAAGTCCTTTTTTATGAAACCGTGTCACTATTTATTATTATTTACTCATACAATATACAGTTTTGGTGTATTTTATGTTGCAGTTGTATTTTCTGTATATGTAAATGTATATTTGTGTATATAAGTACTTTCAAGCACAGCTTCCAATACAATGGAAATACATTTAGATTTAAATATGTTCTGTCTAAAACAAAAGACTTGAGTTACTGAGTTTAACTTTCCACCTGCAGCATTGTACCTTTAATGGTGATATTTAATCTAACAGGTAATGTTCAATGTTCATCCTTGAGTAATTCACTGTTACTTTGAAATACGATCCTATTTTCCACAACACAGAATCAATGTCAGTTAATTCTCTGACCCTGTTGCCTACAGCAATTTAAATATGTTACTTAGTCTCAAAGGAACTCATTTAACTGCAGTTAGCATCATCCGTCTCTCACCTTTTCTTTTTCAAGGCCCCTGCTTCTCTCTTGCTGCTCTTGGTTTGGTCCCCTCCAGCCGGGGCTCCCTCTGCTGTCTGTAGGAGTGCTGGTGAGGTTTTTATCATGCAGGTGACTCGGAGAGAGATGGTGGACCGTTTGGCTTTGACATCTGGAAAAAGACAAAGGAGATTTAATGGTTGTGTGTGTGCTGTGTGAGTTTCTGTGTGTGTGTGTGTGTGTGTGTGTGTGTAACTGTACCTCTATCTACACTGACTTCACAAAGTCTAATTGGAATTTCTCACGTAGCATAATGGCTAGCACCTATTGTAGCCGGTGAAGTGAAGCCAAAATACCCTGGATATGGGTGCGGCCATCTTGTGCTAATGACGTCATTTGGAGCAAGAATCTGTGACGCATTAAAGGAAACCTTTTATGCTTGTTTGGTTTTTAATTTTAATTTGGGGCACTACTTACGAAAAGGTTTACAGGCTCCAATGTTCAGAAAACGCTTCAGTTTCTTTATTCTATTCATTGCTGCAGCATCGGGACACTATCACAGCTAGATTCAGCTCCTATCCCCTCGCTCGAAAGCCCAGTCTGCTGTGATTGGCCAGGTGATGAGTCCCAGAAAGTCAGGACGAAAGGAAGCTGTGAATAGCTGTGAATGTCACTGCAATTAAACACAACACTGACAATTATTTTAATTATACAGGTGTAATTCATTTAAAACATATTTTAAAAAAATGTCCCAAAACCTGCTGAGCTTTAGTAAACAGGTAAACTTTGTAGACCGGGAGACTTAAGCTTGGATGGACTCTGTGTAGTGTTTTGAAGGCAGCACCAAAAAACTAAATTTATAGTAACTTGCATTACAAACGCTGCTCTCTACTCCTCCCATCTTAGGTTGCACTTTGCCATCTTATTTGGGGGCTTGTTGGACTAGCCGCGGGGCGTGATGATGGGGTGGAAGTATTAGAAAACTCCACTTGGAGCGTTTCATCACCCTCCAGAAAACTGTGAGAGAGAAGAGCTCCCTCTTCTGCGGACTTTGGGATTTTAAACCATGTATATATTCACAAAACATATACACAAGCCACTAGAGGACAGGGAAAGACTGATTTATAACCCCCCCTCTGTAATAGTGGAGAAGAGCCACGGTACACATGCAACCAATCACAAGTCAGGGGTTTATGACCTATACTGCAACCAGCCACCAGGGGCTGATCAAGATGTTTTGGCCATTAACAAAGAAAGTTATGCACTGAAGCTCCAGACATGATGTGGGACTAATACAACATGTTCTGATAAAGAAAAGGTGAGATGCTGATGTATGCAGGGGTGGGATAAAGGATGAATCTGTGTGTGTGTGTGTGCGTGTGTGTGTGTTCAATGTTTGCTAACCCTTTCCCACAGCTGTGCAGTTGGCTGGTGTGCTTCTTCACCTCTAACAGGCACCACTCTCCTTCCTCCCTTGGCCCCCTGTCGTCCTCCTCTTCATCAGAGGCAGCTCTTCCCTCCACTGCTCTCTGCAGACACTCTGCATCTGCACACAACAGAGGTAGTTAGTTAACTACTGCCCAAAGACAACTTTATGAACATGCACATGTAGAAGTTGGTGTTTTGTCAAATATTGAAGGTAATTATTATAATTGCCAGATGAGTAATGTTTTACCCACCAATACAAAACTTTCCAAATCCCCCAGACAAACTGCAAACAAAAGCTGTGTTAAGAACACAAGATCTCTGAAACTTAATTGCTCAGTGAGTCATCACACACCTGTCCCGTTGCAGGTGTCTTCTGCTCTGAATGGATAGGTTTGCTGACAGGAGGAGTCTGAGAGGCAGCTACAGCAGGATCTGAGGGAGGTAAAGGTAGAGAACAACTGAAATTCTGTGCTGTTGTATGTGGGTCATTTCACCTCTTCTGTAATGGATCCACTGAATTGGACCTTTCTAATAAAACCATCCTGTTTCCACTGCTCTCACACAGAATAAAGGTTGTTGTACCACAATCCTGTGTACTTATACCACACACACATACAGTAGAGTCGCAAAAGATACCACATATGATGTTTTAGATCATGCAGCGTCAGCAACATTAGGATGCCGATTAGTAAGACCCTGCCATGTAAACAGCATTTTCTGATGACCTTAACCTGAATAAGGATCCTGAATAATAAGCATGAATCAAAAGAGAGAGAGAAATAGCAATAAATGAAGTTGTGGGAGTCATGTTTTTACTATTTACTTAGAAAAGAGACATCTGTGACTCTAATTTTTATGGTGTGTTATGTCAAATGTTTCTTTTACAGCCATCAGAAATGTATTTAATGCACAGATGAATCTGTGTATGATCTTAATCACAGACAAGGGTTACAAAGTCTCTCTGTTAACTATGAATTTTACTCTACACTCATATTAAGTTGTCACTTGTGTGTTACTGAGGGCTTTTTAAATCAGTAGAGCACAGAGGCAAATGATGTTTAAATGGATACACACACACACACAGTGTCTACCTGTACTGGTGCAGCTCAGTCTCTAGCTGACTGATCCTGGTCTGGAGCTGAGGAACAGCCTGTGCCTGCTCCTGGATCAGCCGAACCCGCTGTAGCCCCAAACTCAGAGCCTCCCTGGCCTCCTCCGCTCGCCTCCTGATGGAGATCACGCAAAATCATCTTCTCTGCAGTCCATACTTCTTGCAATCGACTTTAAGAACTCCAATAAAAACTAACCTGATGTGATTGTTCTCTTTCCTCAGTGCAGACTCCACCCCTTGCAGTTTGCGCACTTCTTGATACGCCCACTGCAGCTCCTTCTCCAAACGCTCATTGAACTTGATGGCCTCCTCCAGCTGTCCGTCACGCGAAGAGCGAATCAGCTTCAGCTCCCTCAGAAGTGGGTCCCTGATGTCCTGTGACCTTGCCGCCCTCCTCACCCCGTCTCCTCCAGCCCCACTGCACTGTCCTTTAATTCTGTGCGTTGGGACCAGTTTTCCCTGAACAAAGGTGATGGAAGTTGTGGGAGATGAAACCGTGGAGGTGCAGCTGGAGGGAGAAGGGAGAGTGCAGCTCCTCGCCCTTTGGAGAGCCACCTCCAGGGCCAGGCAGCGAGCATCGCTCCCCTGCAGCGCCGAGCGGAGGTCCTCCACCAGCTCCCTTAGAGCTGACACCTCACCTGGAGAAGGTCCTTTGTTATTTTAAACAGTCGGATTTTACAAAAACATATGATGAGCTTATAATGATCAATAAATATATTGAAAATTGTACTGTAATAGACATGAGGGGGGGAAAAAAATCACATCACACACTGCAGAACGCCGCAACCAATGGCTCTGGATCAGGAAGAAAGACCCCAACTGGGCCCGAATGTTAGGGGGGACACACCCAGGTCTGATCAGCCAGTGGTGGGCCTGTCTTAGAAGAGGGTGTCTTGCGAGGCCAAAACACCCAATGATGCTAAGGTACACAACTGATATGTCACTTACATCCATAGTGGTAGCAAATATCTTGGTGGTTGGTAACTTATCTTCAAACTAACATTAGACATTCATCCTCATCTCTCATTGAGACAAAAGATTTGAATCACTTTTCTCATGATCCTCCAGATACATGCTGGGACAATTATGAGGGGCCCGGCCCTTAGGCTGGGAACCACTGAATGAAACAGTAGTAGTTAAAACTGGCTCCACCTCAAGCAGCTACAATAATGGGCTTACACATTGATGGATCAATAGTGTTAAATAATTATGTACCAGATACTCTTGCAAGGGCAAAGTTCTTCAGTGGGACTGCAGGACTTGTGAGGGAGTAAATGATCACACTATTCTTCCTGTATGAAACAAAGTTGACAGAGCAGATGGTGCAGGAGATGGAAGAGGAGTGACGGCATCAAACAGAGTAAAGGGGGGAGTGCTGTTGCTTGAGAGAAAAATGACAGGAGGGGAAACGAGTTGCGGTAATTGGTGCTTTTAGCCTGCAGGGTTTCCTCCCCTCTTACCTCCCTCACAACAATGACTGCTGTGTATTAGTCAGGAGATAATAGTCATTTACAAGGTACAACAACATAGTCACCATAGATCATGATATATAGAATGGTGAAAATAATATTTAACATGTCGTCCTGGTACAGTACCTGTCTCACGGTCTCCTGAGGTTCCACTTTTACTGGGTACAGATCCACTCTGGTCCCCGGGCAGATCAAAACTGACACTTTTCCTCCGCCTGACCCGCGGCCACCGCAGTCGGATCTGTCTCTCCACCAGCTCCGTGTCCTCAGTGAGGGGCAAGCGCCAGGCACAATCCCCGGTGCCTCTGCGCGCACTGCGCACACGGAAATACCCACAGAGCCGAGAGTGGAAGTCTTTAAATGACAGCTGGCAGGGCAGCCGAGAACATACATTGATAAACTCTTCATCCTCCTCGTCTTTCTCTCCATCTCCTGTCCCGTCCTTTGCTATCCTCGTCCTCCTCCCCGCTCCGTTGAGCCCCAGCACCGCGCACAGCGTGGCGAAATCCTCCGCAGTCACTGTGTCGTCCCGGTTGGGGTAGGCCAGGTGGTGGAAGACCTCCTGCAGGTATTGGTCAATGCCTGTGGCCAGGACGACGATTTCGTTCTCCACGCTGGGGTCTGGGCAGTGGTGATGTGCCAGAGTGCTCCGGAGCCACTGGCTTTTACGCGCTGCTCGCGGCAAGGGGTCGAAGCGCGACGGGGGAAATGCGCGGCGCTCCATGACTTCACATAAAGTCAGATTTTTTACTTCGTAGATTTCACCAAATACAAACCCAACTATGAAAATGTACACAGGATATGATTTCGAAACAGAAAGTCCTCTCTCCTTTGGTTTTACGCTGCGTAATTCCCTGGAAGCCTCACCTTGGATTCCTTCCCGGCGCATCAAGTCAAGATCTGATGCCCTCGAGAGGGGAACGAAATACTACTGCACCGACTCCACCCTTTTGAGTGTAGAGTCTGACCACGTGTGTGTAACAGTACAAGTAGCCTAAGGGGCTTTCACCATTTATAATTAGTTATTCGAGGATGTCGGTGCTATTGTTCATCTCTATAACAACTCACATATAAGGTGATGGCACAATACAGCTTCCATCTCATATCTGTGTCACAGTGTGACAGATGTACGAACTACTGAGTCATGTTTGTGCGTTTGCAGAGTTTCAGGGTATTCTGTGGCACGCGTCAGTTGTGACAAAACAATCCACAACAGTCCACAGTGAGTCATGGTGGGTTTTAGTTTTCACCTTTACCAGAATGATTATTGAGTTGATTTGACTCACTCCCTGTGTGGCAGCAACAACAATGAAATGTAAAAAGACTCCTGACACTCAGCACCCTCTGACTGCAGTCGCCCACTCTTCTCATTTCTTACCGAGTGACTGAAACTGAGCAACTCCCAGCGGAAATACCTTTCCACACCTTGACCCCACCACTTATCACATACCTGACAGCCACGAGCAAAGGGAGCATCTTGATTACGCTCCCATGACTAGACCACATACACGCAAATCACAGGTGAATTACAAAGCGTGAAGCAATACACAGTGAAAATATTTCAGTACATCAGAACTTGTGCCAAAACGATTTGCCATCTGGCAGAAAATGAATCAGCCTAGAATTCAAACGTAGCAAATCTCTCATGTGCAGCACTTTGTTAAGCTCTATGTGGCAAACTGTGATTTGTAAATCGAATTCTTATCTCATTTTATTGATGACTGATTATGTCATGCCATCATATAAACAAACATGAAGACAAGATAAAAGATAACTGAGATTCATGTTACTATAGACCAGAATGTGCAAAAAG